GCAACAAGCATGGCTGACCCTTGCAGACCAACAGTGGAAGCGGGCATAGAAAAAGTAGACTTGTTTGTCATAAGTGGGGCACATCAGCGTTGGGTGGCATGAGAGGGAGAGAGAGAAAGAGAGATAATGGGGAAGAAATAGCTCATGCCATATGTATGGTTTATAGCATGAACGAAAACCACGCCCGGGGCACATACCTCGGACAAAGTTTTTGACTCGCCGCGGGGGGAGCAGGCGAAAGACAGGTTATGTCGCACTTGCCGGTCACATCGATGACATGCGCTGCCCGTGGCCGGACCCACACTGAAACTCCATCTCTCTATATCTGTCTCTGTCGCTCCGACCCTGGCGGCGCGCCTCGCCCCCTCTCTCTCTCAACCCCCCACCCCCCGCCAAGGAAACCCCCCATCCGACTTGCTCCAGAACCGTGCGGAGGTGAGAGGAGGGCGGCTGCGGAATGTTTCTCTCTGTATCATAATCTAATGTCACGAAATTCTTGACCTTTCTATGTAGTGATACCGACATGCCGAAAATGGAAGGATCTCTTTGTTTACATTTTTGCACCTACTCATCAGGGGCGTAGGAAGGTCCTGAAAGTTGAATGTGCATAGCGTTGTGGGTTGCCTACCTATCCAGAGGCATTTTTCGTAGTGCGCTGGGATAAAATACTATGTTTTTATTTTGCATATTATGTGGAAATGAAACACTTCCATACGGCTCATTGCATAATTGTGATTTCTTTATCAATTACAAAAAAATAAAAAATAAAAAAAAATAGGGACTACACACCAACTGGATTTACATCTGTTATTTTACGAATTTAAGCAATCAAATTTTTGGCACACACTTCTGCGTTGATTTGAACACAATTGTGTATTTATTCGCACGAAACCATGCACCTGAGCTTGCGCTTTCTCCATGGTTTGCGGGTTCAATTCTAAATATCATTACTGTACCGGCTCAAAAGTTGGGAGGGGTGGGGGCACGCTCCCCCCAGCCCAACGCCCCTCCCTTCTCCGTACAGCCCCTTTTTGGCATTCGGAAGTAAATAGCAGTTCTCTCCTGCCGCCTTTCGCCGCACAGTTTTATTTCTAAATAATTAACTTATTATTGTAATAATGATAACACTCGCAGTTCAATACCAGACAGAAAAGCGATAACAATTGTCTACTAAAAAGAGTTTTTCGTCTCGCCAGCTATTTTGACTTCTCAGTTTCGCTTGGGCCCGGGTGGGTCTTAGTTGCCAGGCGGCGACGACGGCGCACTGCAGCGCTCACTGCACGGCCCTGAAATTGTCTGATAACGAACGGGGCGAGGTCCCCGAGCCGGAAATCAGTTTGTCTCTCATTTCCAATTGAGATGGCTCGCCGGGCAGTCAGGTGGAGGAGGGGCTCCGCACACGGCTCTGCGCGGTGTTTCTCGCTCTCTTCGACTCCCGTGCTCACACCTCGGAAAATGAAAAGTTGTAGCAGCCACCTCGGAAAATATAAAGTTGCAGCAGTCACCGCATGGTTTCCTTCAGGGGTAGCCATACACCCGGAAAAATCATTTCTTGATTCAAGTAAATTTGTCCTTGTTTCAACTGCACGCCGACACACGATCAAATTTACTCTTGAAACAAGGTGATAATTTTTTTTTTCGATTAAGAGAAAAATCTTATCTCAATGACAATATTTCCCTGTTTCAATGGTAAATTCCATCTTGTGTCAGCTTGCACTTGAATCAAGAAACTTTTTTTCTTGGTGTATAAAATATGGTTGAGACAACGATCCACCCGGATCCACCAGTTGTGAAAACCCGCGTGAAAACCCGCACATTTGGTTGGGACACCCCTGTGCCATGTGCTGTTGTTGCTTCAACCATATTCTATGGTCGTCTCTGAAATAACCATACTCTGGTTATTACTACAGCTTTTCATTTTTCTGGGTGCACTTCCCCAAAATACTAAATAGATGCCTGATGCCTGGCCCAGTGCGCTTCAAACCCATTGCGGAGGGACACGGGTGGCTTCCACGCACCTCACCGGGCAGAGAGCGCAGTAAACGCGCCATCACGTTTTTATACCAAAGTTTTTACAACTAGTGCAGTTTAGATTAGAACGCGCTCGTCGATAATAACTGCCCTACTTGTCTATGCTCTCGCGCCGGTCCTTGATGCGCCATACTGTACTCGTCTGGGGGGCGACAGAGCGGCGCATCTAGGCAGCCTAGATTCCGCAATGTGGCTGACACGAATATTCGTGAAAAAATTTTCCCCGTTTTGGATAAGAGTGGCTGATAAGTGCTGACCCTAGCGAGGCGCATGCAGTGTGACCCGCACGGCTCGCGCACTATCGTACATACGTCCCTTTATTTCTGCCCTCCTGGGTGTCACACAAGAGGTCAAGCGACACTCCTCGTTTTCTGCTTCTTTTTTTTTTCGGTTGGTCTACCGGCTCGTGGGATTGTGATATAGCGAAATAAAACAAGGGGAAGGTGTAAATCGGACCGGAACCTTCATGATGGAAGAACGAAAGCAGGGGACTAACTATTAACAAAGAAAATGTAACGAAATCCGGGTGCTATTATCACGTTGAGTCCCAGAGCAAATTAGAGGGGTGGCGTTTTCCAGCAAATCATGGCCCCCATGTGCACGTCGGGGGCTCATAGCGATGTGTCATTCGGTGGCAGAAAACACGCAACGAAACTCATAAAACGTCCTCCACTTTAAAATGTTCTTGAAAAACAGTCAGCAGGTTTTATTCGACAAGGTTCCGAAGCCCCGAAACGTGCAGCCTTCCCCCAGGCCCAGGGGTGCATGTTCTCAATTTGTCTATCTTCTCTTTGTTTGTCAGACTATGTTCATAGTTTGAATACTTTTCTAAATCAACTACAATGCTTTTCAAAACTATCACCAAGACCATGTGAAAGTTGAGTACATCTTATCTGCTTTGTGACCTTCGTCCTGCCAGAGACTATGTCACCCCGAAACACACCAACAACTGTGTTTTTCTCCCCCTATATCCCGGATGCTTCGGGGCACGCGTTGGCACGGGGGAGTTAGCTTACGAACAGGGGCCATGGCACCTTGCGGGCAGAGAGAGTAGGCAAACCCGCCCGCACCGGCGGTGCTCCGCGGTGCTCCGAAACACCTGGTTCATATTCTATACTCGTGATTGTACAACAGAATCAGAAAATGACAAGAATAAATCGCTGCCGGGACGCCACCGGGACTCAGAGACCGAAGTTTACTTGAACAGTGAGTCAGACACACACACACACGCCAGGATCCCGATAAAAATAATATCCGCGCTCCGCAGCGCGCCACCCGACACTTGGTGATAGGGACGTGATGTGCCCGACACTACTACTTGTGTCCCCCGCCGTACAAGGTCCGTTATGGAGCCCGCTGCCCAACCGCGACCCGCCGAACGCGACACCCACCCGGGCGCGCCTGGCCCGGCGGGCCCGGGGGTACCCACACAACGGCGTAACCAGACGCCCGGCCCGGCAAAGCCTCTGTCTCGCTCGCACCCACGGCCGGGCCCGCGCGGCGCCGGCGCGGCGGCCAGGGTCGAGTCGCGTCCTGCCGGCGTCCCGTCGTAGAGGGGCAGGGTTTTCGGCGAATCGCGGCTGTTTCGCTCGCGGCAGCGGCCGGCGAACCGGCGGCGGCGCCTATCCGTGAAAAGTGCACCGGTGGCGAGAGAACGGCGCGGCGTGGCGCGGCAGGGCCGCGGTGAATGGGCACGCCAGGCCGACCCCCGCGGGTCCTGGGGGGGCCACTTGGCGACCTGCCCGCGCCACGCCGCGCCACGCCACGCCACGCCGCGCCCCCGCCGGCCACCTGTTATACGCAGCGCCAAAGTCATTGCCACCCCGGTGCAGCTCACAATTGGGTTCGGCCCGGCCCCGCCCCGCCCGCACACAGACACTCACACACACACACTCTCATTCTCGCACACAGACACTGACACTGCACTGAGGAGGAGTAGTCCGCTGTGGTAGTGACGGCCAAATCCAGTGGCGGTGGCGTGGGGCTGGCTGCAACACTCACTCACTCACCTCGGCGCGATGGGCTCACTGTCTCTCATGTCACTGCCCGCAGTAGGGACACGCGTGCCAAAATAATCCTATCACCGGAGAAAGTATATCCGCAGTGTTCGGTGTGGAAGTTCATTCGCATCGTTCCTTTCCGGTCACTAACACTGTCACTGAGCACTGGCGACGATGCATCGTGAGGTAGTGGCTTGAGGTATTTCTCTTTTGAATGGAAATCAACACTTCCTCTGCTAGGCCGAAATCACTGTCACACGCACTCACACAAGTTGGACACTGATCACTTGCACTGTCACCGCACACGGTCACTGCACTGTCACTTGACCACCGTCACACTGCACTGTCACCACACTGTCACGTCACTGCACTGTATCTTCGGCACACGCGGCCGGGCATGGCGAAGAGGCGGCCGGGGAGCTCACTGGACAGACGCGATCCTCTCGGCTCGGCTCGCGCAGGGCTCGGCTCGACTCGGGTCCGGCTCGGCTCGAACCTCACGCCGCTGCACCGAGCTGCACTGCCCGGCCCACAGCTGATCGCAGACTGCGGCTTGCTCACACTTATCGCACGGGGGGTGGGGGCTGGCTGGTGGGGGCACGCAG